CCTCTCCTCCGTTCACCTGAACCACCGGCCATTGATGTTGGGTAATCTTCCAAGTGGACATAGATCAGGCATTTGGACTGTCATAGATGCCCTACAGGCATTTTGGCTGCTATTGAACCAATTAGTTCTCAGAGATCTTGAAATTGGTTCTGTCAGGTGGAATATTCATATCAGCTGTTTTTTGGGCAACTCAGATGCAGAGCAATAAAAGGTTTTTCACCCGCTGCCATAGAAAAGCAGTGATTTTAGGCACAACTGTTCTTCTGTCTTTTAACAATGGGTCTGCTAATGACTCTTCGCTTTTATGATGATATCCCCATATTGAAATTAAATCAGCTGAGTTTGTGCTAGTTGAGAATACTAGACAGAATATTGGTGTCTGTTTTAAGGTTAAAAATTATAGATTTACTTGCAATCAATCATAATACACAATTTCAGGAATATAATATGATTTTTTACCAAAAAAAGCTGGGTAGGGAGGGTACAAGGTTTGTGTACCTGCCGAGTTTTTGTCTTCGGTTGTTGTACTTGGTGGTTTGACAGCATTTTATGTTGTGTTGAGCATGGAGACGAGAACATGTGTTGTTCACCTGTCCTTGTATTTAAATAGAAGTCTCTCAAATGGCTTGTGGATTTTTAAAAGTACAAAAGAGTAAATTATTTGGCTTTGATAGATGTGTGATTGAACTAAATCATTATTTAATTTCCTGAAAAGAGGTGAAAACATGTCACTTTTAAAGCAAATTACAGGGTAATAAAGTTTGAGAAAAGTAAATTTGAAAAATGATTACTAGTATCTTCATTCATAGTAATGTAGGCTAACAACATCTTAGCTGATGACAGTAGATACACTAACATAAATTCATAACCAGTGCTTCTAGATATTCAGGATAACATCATACTTTATTATAAGCCTACGCTCTTCACTTCCTTTAAACCTACTAAGCTGTCTGAAACGGGAGTAATGTAAAGTTGATGAGTCTATTATTGTGTGCACTCTAGAGTGTCCTCTTCAAAATAGCAGTTTGAAAAACATCACTAGAAAAAAAAAGAAAATACAGAAATACTTATAAAATGTGAACAATCCCAGGACATCCTAACTTAATGTCTTACTTTTAAGGGCTTAATGTTTCCCCAAGACTACCAACATTTTTTTTATGATGCTTATTCCAAAAATATAAATATAAAGACATCAAAATAAAATAAGAGGACTTTTGTACCAAATTCTGCTTTAAAATGTCGTAATTTTTGATGTAATGGCTTGAAATGACTAAAACCTTCCTGAAAAAGCTCTACATTGACTTGAGCATGGAGCCTCTGTAAAACATCAAGGTATCATCAGTATATAAATCGGTTTTGGTTGCAGTAAGTCCCCTGCCCAACTCAATCAAACTGAAGTTAACACACATCACCTGGATTTAGAGTATTACTCCAGGCATTGCTTAAGCCTATAAAAACTCAATTATTGGCTCTTGGACGTACCCATCTTTTGCGATGTTAAAAAGTGGGAGAAAAAAAAAACTGCAGACATCATTAAATCACCACAGCTTTTAAGCCACCATAGAAAACCGAATTCTGAAGAAGATTTACAGCACAATCTGTCATTACTGTTAAAAGCCTTTAAAACAAAATAAGCATGTCTATATAAAGAAAATAAAAGATTTAAAATATTCAAAGCAGATGTGGGTTGAACTTTAGTGCACATAAGACAGAATGATATTAGTGGCTATCTGCTAATAAATGCCTGCTATAAATGAAGTGCCCGACTTATGAATCCCCAATAAACGTGTTTTTTGCCATCGCAGAATGTTTCTTCCCCATTCTAATTATTCCATTGATCCGGCTTTACTCATTAGCGAGGCCAATCAGTTTTCAGTGACATTTGTCTAAGTGAAGTAAATGGAATGATTGCTTCTTGAGCTTTGTTCAATGTGTCAGGCATTATGTGACGTACGTGGGAAGCCTGCCCTATTTGGAGCCTATAATTTGATGAGTGGGCAGACAGCCCACAAGTGGTGAGATCAGAGTGCTAAAAAGCATTGGCGGGGAGAAGCACGGCTGGTGCTTACATTCCATTTGGCAGAAGTGGACTGTCTCACTCTGAATGGGGAGAGGTGAAGTGGTTTTGAATGGCTATTCGCTCCAGGACCTAAATAAAAAACACACAGAGGCACATACACAAACAGCAGGGGAAACCCAGCATAGACCAGCCTGTGTCACCAATCTCCGTCCCTCCTGAGTAGATTAACTCTGTCATCAAAGAGGTGTGAGAAGGATCAGTTTTTTTTTAATTGCCCTCTTCATATGAGCAGCTTGTCTCAGATTAAAAGAACAAGCAATAAATGTCAACGAGATTTATGGCAGAAATGCATTTTATAAACTGTTGATAATCCACCATCTGTTTGAAAGAAAGAATTGCTCAGAGAGGCTAATTTGAGGCGTGCTTAGGGTACTTAAAACACTTCATTAAAGCTTATCGTCAATAAACTTGAATATCTCTGGGTCTCATTCACATAAAAACCTTATCAGTTTTTTGTTTCCCGTCTAAAAGGATGCTGCAGATTGATTATTGATTAGAGCTTTGAGTTTTCCTTCCTTCAGGTACGTCACTGAGAATTGACTGTTTGAAATGAGGAATGCATCGACCTGTTTCTTTAATGATTTGCCAATTTTATCTCTCTCCACTATCAGTTTTGATAGATCCGTCCGAAAATATCACTAGTGGATTTGTTATAAACAGACACATTAGTGTATGATATTTAATTGCATTCAACTTTTTTTTCAGCTTTAGGTCAAGTTAGATTTTTTTTTTCTTACATAATCATAGAGATTACACTCTTTACCTTTAGAAATATGCAGACATTTAGATTATTATGCCTTTAGATATTCTCAGAAATGCATATAAAATATCACTCTAGATATTCTAGTTATTATTGACATTTGGAGTAAATTTAAGTTCAATTCTGAATGTGTTTTTAAAAAAATCGTTTTAATACCAGGTTTTAGAAAAATTTTTTGAGAATTAATCATCTTTTTTTTGAATACCAATATTTGACACCATTAACAAAATATCTCCATTCTTTTTTTATTTCCTTTAGCTCCGTATACAGAAGTATTCAGCCTCTTTTTCCTTTTTATCCTTTTAGTAGAAATGTGATTTTTTTTTTTTTTATCCTTGATACCCAGAGCATTTTTTCTTAACACCTCTGTTGTAACAACCATGTGTGACCCTAGCTCTCAATGCAAACATTATGGGGCTTTCATAGCAATAGCAGCATCAGATCTACTGTGTAAGATGTATTCATTTGTACAGCTGTGGTGCCGAGGTGGTACAGCTTTCTGGACAGTGTCTGTAGTCAGGTCAGATTTAATGTTTTCAGTAGGATGTTTATGTGTAGGCAGTTAGTCAAATGCTCTTGGGTCGCTTTGCTTCCTTCTTGCCACAAGCAAAACTTACAGTATAAGCAAAAGGGAACACGTAGGTCGTATGTTATTATGGGCTACATTTACTTGCGCTAGGAAATGAAGTATTTACCCTTTTAAACACCACTTTGAAAGACATAATGGTATTCATTCCACAGAGCAATTAAATGCATCACGTTTCTCTGTCATTAATGTGTTGAATTGAACCTATTTAGGTATCAGGCATAGTTTTATGGAAACACTATAGATGCATCCTTTTATGAAATGATGGAAATGTCAAAATAAAATAATTCATTATGAAGCAGCATCAAAAGATGACTGTGATAACGTTTAAGCTTGGCTGAAATGGGCTTTATAGAAGGACTGTGGTCCCGCAAATTAGGATGTTTTAACTCCTACACGGTTTATTTAGAACCCCCTGGTCACATTCACGTTTGGATCAAAACATTCATATCAAGACTGGAGGTGGTTTTTTAGCACTGTACACCTGATCCAAGCATAGCCAGGTTTACGTTGGATTGTGGGGGGCGATTGAGTTAACATACCTATAAAAACTGGCAGCTTAACTTTACCATAAAGCATAAATCCAACGCTCAATCTTCTCAGTATCATTCGCTATACGTATAGAAACAAATAGAATAATCAAATTCTAGAAGCATCTACTTCCTGTATTTTTATTTAGTGCTCTGACACCGTATACATCTGACCAGCAGACTGTGTAAAAATAAACCAAACCACTTAAAAAAGTCAAAGTTAACAAACAGAACTGAACAAACTTCAAATGTGAGATCGGCCTTAGCATCTTGAAGACAGCTAAGTTCATTTTTGGAGCAGCAAACACAGAAACACTGTGGGCAGAGCTGAGCTGAGGTGTGAGCAAGGCAGCCTGCAAACCTGACTGAGTCACAGCGGTTCATGCAAGGGGAATGGGACACAATTCCTGCAAACTACTGTGAGAAGCAACCAAAATATGTTGTGCAGGTCTTGAAGCTTGAGGGGCAATCTACCAAATACTAACAAAGTACATAAAACTTCAAAATGCTAAGAAACTTCCTCTCTTGTTAATCTGGCAGAGATAATTCTGGCAATCCTAAATAAACTAAAAAAGCAAAGGTTTAGTGTGATTTTATGCCATAAGCAAAACAGGTTGTCTGTCTTCCTTTAACAGTATATGTAAATATCTGTTTTTAGTTGAATTTTTCTTCTTTTTTTTCAAGTTATATCAAATCAGAAAAACTCAGGAGTTCTTATAACGGCATCCAATCAGCTGGATAATTTATGCAGCCAGAATTATGGAGCTCGATTTCACACCACAGCTGCATATCTCAAATAAGAGCCATATGCTGGGTGGGATGGGTGGGGGGCAAAAAAGGGAAGAGGGGTTTGGCCACATGGCAGGAGTTGCTGGGGAGGGTGGGCGGGGAGGGCCAATTAAAACTGATGTAATCAAAAGATGGTAGAAGACTCCAGAACATTATGCTTAGCAATTTGGGCACTGACTTTGAGAATGAAAAAAGTTGATTTCCACAATGATGGAGTCCCCTCCCCCCTCCCCACCCCTATACTGTATCTCCCAGGCCTCCCCGATTATGGGTTTTACTCTGCGCCCAGTGACCAGAGGGGGGGGCCCTGCTCCTTTGCTGACTATGGCTCCCTGGGGCCCCAGGCGGCTCAGATGCTGCACAGTGAGCATGCCACCTCCGCCTGCAACTCCCCCCTACAGCACCTACACAGCCCGGATCAGTTTAAGAACCCAGGTTTGTATCTGAGCATCTATCTCATCCACATTTTGGACTTTTCCTTTGATTCATGACATTATTCCATGCAGATGATCAGAACCTTTCTTTTAAATATATATTTGTTTGACTTTTGTTTACAAATAAAATTAAATAAACCCCCTTTGAGAAAAAAAAAAAGCAAAGCTACATCTTGTTGACAATTAAGCATTGCATGCTTTTCCTCCTTTTTCAAACTCAATGTAGATTTTGTTGTTTCTTTCCTGAGATTTTTTTGTTTCTCCCAGCCCCTGCTTGCACAAAAGGGGCCGACCCATACAGAATGTAATCCTTCATTTGCATGTGAACAAAGTAATTAATGATGATGTCAGAGAGTACAGCGGCCTCTCTAATACTGCCCAGGTGTATATGAATTGAGTGCCATTTTTCTCTGAAACCCTTAAGACTTCTAAGTGTGGGAGAGATTGCTCGCATTATTAGGCAGAGATTCTTGTAAAACACTGAACACTTAGCAGAAAACATTTTTTGCATAATAAATACAGCCACTCTAGGTGCTCACTTTGATCTTTGCTGCGTTGTCGTTTTCTCTTTTTTATGACTGTTTGTAAAAGCAAGAAATGAGATACAAAAGGAAAAACAGTGCACATAGATTGCAAAGAATGTAATCAAAATATTTGAAATGCCTTTTTTTGTCTTTTAGAGGTAGTCTTTATAATTAGTAAAGCTAAGAAAATTAAAACTAATTTCAGCGTTACCTAAAATATTTGTTGATTAAAATCCAGTTTGGTATGATAAGTTACCTGAAATTCAGAAGCATTTCTACCTGGTCTGAGAAATCCATGGATGTCCGCTAAATCCTCTCAGAGACCAGTCTGGTTTTCTTTCCTTGGTATACATTGATGCCTGACTGTTACAGAGAGGGACAATCCAGAGGCACGCCCAATCATCTGATTCTATCAAAAGATGATTTACTGTTTATAAGGAAATGCTTTTTTTCAATCCTCACTTGAGCTTTTTGTTAGATTCAGAGACAATCATACGCCATCATGGATGGAGACTAGATGGCTGTGATGTTCAGCTGTATAAAGTTAAGCAGGAATTTTCCAACGCGTGGCATCAGCTAAATATCAAGATAATAGTTTTTTTTTCTTTTTTTTGTAGTGAGTTTAGCAATGCTTCAGTCAGAGTTATTTAGTTGATTGAGTCATCTAATTCTCTAACCCTGTTGACCTAATTGATGTAGCTTTTGGCAGATCTGAAATCTCTTTAAAATTGTATTCTACAGAACTTCTTCTTATTAACAGGATATTAACATGCAAAACTGATTTAAGAATTACTAGAAGTCACATTTTAAGCAGTCCGAGGTGAGTCACACGGTTGGCAAGGTTAGAATTGCTAACTGAACTGCACTATTTTAGTGTTTTCCTTAAAAATGTAAAGTCTAACTTTAAATCCATTTTTCTTTTCTTAAAGCAGTCAATATTTAGAAAACAATCATGTTTCATTGGAAATTTAAAAAAAACAACATATTTGCATATTTATGTGATCCGTGTAGCCTTTCTGTTATCTACTTTATTCTTACTCTTTTATTTAAAAGTAGAAGCTCCCTGATTTAGTAGATATATGCCTCCATAGAAAATGCAGCTTCCTTAAAAATGGCCTCTTTTAATTTTGTTATTCCTTAGTTTGTCGCTGACAAAAATGATCCAGATGAAGGAAAGCCATATTTGCATTGAAAAAATGCTGCGTTCACTTTGTGGAAAACACAGTTTGTTTAAATTTCCAACTAACTACTGAGGAGGTAAAGTCATTTCTTGAGGAAATCTCTTCTTTAGTTTATTTTATACACAAGAGGGCTTCATTGGTCATGATTTGTTATTCTTTTAAAATAGTTGTTGAACTTATAGACTTTTTTGTTTTTTTATTTGCAATTTTTTGGCAATGTTTTTTGTGGGGGTTTAGGGGTAGCGATGTTCTGCAGGCAGTTTTTGTATTAAAAAACAATAAATATAAAATACTTGCAATCTAACATTCCCTGACACGGCTTTTTTCCTCCTTTAATAACAACAAGTTGGAACGATTGTAGAAAAGCTAATAACTTGACTCCATTGTTTGAAAACAATAGGGAGGTAAAAATCTGACCTCTAATAAATGCAAAAAATTTCCATAAAAAAAAAAAAACTTCTTAAAAAGACCTCTTTCTGCCAACAACTAGTAAAAACACAGTAAACGTTTTGTTTAACAAAATATGTTATCTTTGGGTATGGCTTACAGTATTTATCTTGGAAAAGTAATTTCATTACTGATTACTCCTTTAAAAAATATGTCAATTATTGACTGACTCACCTAAATTAAATGTAACTGGGTTAGATTCAAAGTTACTTTTTTAGTTAGTTTAAGTAAATGTATCAATTGCATCACTAAATATAGCTATTATTTTCAGTTGAAAGCACAGAACACTATTAACATAAGATAATGGACAGCAGTAGTTATTTTTGTCAAAAGGTAACTGCTGCTTTCCAACTAAACGATAATGGCAAGAAAGTGTTTTAAAAATGTATGATTGGATGGAACTCATTGTTTGTTTCTGTATATAATTGGACCTGTTATCTTCATGTGTCTTGGGGTGACAATAGTGGAGGTTTGATAACAGTGGACCAACAGTTTGGCCCATATTTCACTCAATATAGTTTTGCAGATTCACAACTAGTGCATCTTCTGCGGTTATTTAGAAAGGAAAATCAGTCATCGTATGGATATGAGGAGGGATGCCGCACTCCAATAAAAATCGCCAGTTACAGATAATGAGGATTGCCATTTCAACTGAAAAACCCCTTAATTATATCATAAGCTAGCCCACTGTGGGCTGTGCAGGCAAGATAAGAGCCGTAGCCGCTCGCTGTTTAAAGTCTTTATAGTCAAACAGCAGTGTCAACACTTGGAGATGTGTGTTTAGTGAGACGGCTTCATTTTCCTAGAGTGCTATAAATGGATATCTAAGGCGTTCCTTTAAATAGAGTTAACTTCTCTAATACAGCTTTGATAGATGGAGCAGCAACACATTAAACAGGTGACAAGTCTGGTTTACTGTGTTTGTCTGCACCAACAACAATGGGTGCACTGCTCTCACACTATGTGGTTTTTAATGCGCTATACAAAGGCCTCCTCTCAGGCATGGCAGGGTTCGCCAGCCTGTAAATACACAAGATCGAGCAGTTCCTGTGCTCGCAAGATTTTTCTTTTTAATGCTGCTGTATGGTTTTCCTTTTTTTTTTCCCCTCTCAGTTTGCTTGTGAATAAGGGTGAGACGGAGGGTTATGTGAAGCTGACAGCAAAGGAGATTGCTGTTAAGAGATCATCCCATTTTTCTTTCTCCGTGCCTGTTTTTCCCTCACATTGCCTGTGTTATTGGCCTTTAGTGGGCATATGAATTTTCAAAAGGAATTTTATTAGTCTGAGTTGCTCTTACTCACAGGGCAAAGGTGGTAAGTTCTGTACAGTATTTCTGTTTTATCTCTCTCTAAGTTTGGACCTCCAAACGGACTCAGGTCATCCTTTTTATAATGCTTCTTCCTTCCTTCTTCTCCTGTCTGACAAACCTGCTTATTTTATTTTTTACCGAAAGTTACTTAAACAGCATTCAGGTGTTTTTTTTTGTTTTTTTTTTTCTAATATTAAAGAAGAATAAACTATATTTATATGTTTGGGTTTGAGAATCAACAGAAATGTCAAATCTTGAATATTTAAAAAGAAGAAATCTTTATTTTAGAAGTACTCCCTCACATTATGCATGAGAGCACTGCAACCTACAGGATTATTAGCATGATTGAAGTATGTAGCCTGTTTATTTTGTGCATGATAAACAAAGTGAATGTTTCTTGTGTGCTAAAGACACACAGCATGTAGATTCAAAGAGAATCATACTGGATTCACCCTTAATTTGATGCATATGGTCTAAATTCTATATCACATATCTTTGTAAAATTAAAAGTTTTTATGTCATGGCATCCAATATATGCTGTAAACAGGTCCTTCAAGACCAACATATGAATCCAGTTATGTGTTCTTTCAAACCAAATGTTTCCTCTGTGGTCAGAGTGAGGTAGTGCTGATGACTGATGAGCATTTCTAAACTGATCTGCTCTTCCATGTGTTTGTATGCAGGCACCAACCCATCCAGGCCCGGAGGTTTCCCAGGTGCTAACAGTCCAGGGCCTGTAGCTGACCTGTATGGACCTAGCAACCAGGATTCAGCTGTGGGGAACTACATCAGTGCTGCTAGTCCTCAGCCTGGCTCCGGGTTTGGCCCCAGCATTACTGTGAGTATTTAAACTATGACTTTCAGACTAAAACAATGATCCAGATCTATCTCAGAATAGAAATTTTAACGTTAAGCACAAAGAGAAGGCACATCATTTGTAGTTTTTCATGTTTTCTTTCTACATAAGCTCGCATCTCCAGTTTTAAGTGCTTAAGATTTCCCCTGGCCTTTGACATGGGATTCTTTGTCGATAGAAGCTGTAAGAAAGTCAGATAAGGTCCACATTTATCACTTAATGCAAAGTACAAAGACGGTATATAACTGGAAAATAGAGGTATCCTCACCAAGAACCTTTGATCTTGTTTAATGCTCTAAATTTTTGGGAATAGACCGACACTGAGCCCCTTAGAACAAAAAACAAAACCTTAAAGCTTTCTGATTTTTAGGTAATTTATTATGGACTTAAATGAACTTCAAAACACTCCTTTGATCTGATAGATCAAAGAAGAAATAAAAATGTGAAATTTTGAAATTAGGAATATTAAACTAAAGCACAGAGAAACTTCACAGTTCAGCATAGTTCAAAGGAGGACATGCAGAACATGGTTTATAAGTTAAGGCATCATGGATGTTAAACAGGTCCAGCAGAAACCATGATCATCTCAGCCAAACAATATATTCAGCCAGATTAATCATCAGCTTTAAAGAAAGTGAACAGATTTCCATGCATTCCAGACCTTCCAATTATTTAAACATTGACTATTATATAAAAGAAAAAACATAAAGATGTTAATGCTGCAGGAAAGTTTAGGGTTGTTTAGAATCCTAAGTGCAGAAAGCTGATTATTTCTGACTTTATTTTGACTGTAATTTCCTTACTTTGTAGTTTTGGGTTGTTTCACTATTTATTTACGGTATGTTTTTCCCAAGTATGAGTTTGAGCCTTCCATAACCACAGATAGGCATTTGTACTTTGATAACAGACAGTTTAAAGTAATTTTGTAAAATCCTCTCTTTGTGCACTTCGTGTTATTCCTGTAAATGCTATCTACTGGCAGGAGGTTTCAAAGATGGATTTTGCTTTGATCAGGGCTTATAATCTGCCTTATTTTATTAGTTTCAGTTGCATTAATGGGTTTGGAAACGACATAACCTCTTTATTGTATGCATGTCTTCATAATTAATAAACAAAATCTACACTACATAGGTGTTTAAAGGTATATAGCTACAGCATTTCTATGAATTTGGAAGGAGTTGAAAATCGTTTTTGTTTGTGCCTTTATTGCCACTTTATTGCATTTTATCTTAAATCCTTGTAATTAAATATATTAGTTTAAAAAAAGATGAAGAAAAATAATTAAACTTTGAAAAGACTACTTTGTGTTGTATTACATTTAGAACTGTGCTCTCACCTGTATTGAAGGAGTATGGTACATCTCAGCTCGAAAACATTTTCAAATAATATCTTTATTCCTCTTTAGCTTTTCCATCAATCCATTCCTCTCACATCTCCACCTCCTCAAAGCAAATTTCCTTTAATCTTAGAAGCCCATATGTCCCAGATCTCCATCAGTTCTGTCACTTGAACAACACTTCCAGACAGGTTTTGTCTCTGCAGCTCTCCTCCATGTTTCCTGCAGCTGGTCATCATCTCAGCTTTGTAGTGTTAGACTGTAATGATGTGATGGATGGAGCTAAATAACAGGCTTCTTTCAGTCAATGTTAACTTATATTTGGTAGAAATCTTCAACTATGCTAAACGGATTAGGCTTACATAATTTTACCTGGGTAAGTAGAAAAGGGAAAAATCAAATGCTGATAAACAGGATGTTGCTAAAAGAGATGAGTCTACTATATTTACTCAAAACCCAGAGTGAGAAATGTCAACCAGGTTGGTAATAAATCTATAAAGCTCAATAGACTTCTTCAGTTGCAGCCTTTACCTTTTCATTAGCTCTTTTTTTCCAGCACTGCATGAAGTGAAAAAGTCAGAGGACCGATCTGCACACTGCTTTAGTGCTGCCATCAATCACATCGTACATGTGGAGTCTGAAAAAAGCTGTTTGCTTTGGCTTTACAGAGTAACTTTAGCAAAAGCAAAAACTAACAAATATCAGTCATTCTCTGTGTGGCTGCACAAAACAGCATTTATAAAACACCTTAACATTGGTGTTTCAGATATAGAAAAAGGAAATAAATCAGACTCTTTTCAGGTATTGGCACTGAAATTTGTCGGAGGGAGGGCATGTAAGGATGCAGTTCCCACTGCATTCGCCTCAGGCTGCTTACAGACATTTTTATCCTAAGAGCTCTTAACACTTCCTGCATCCTCATCCACCATTCAGGATGTGCTGTGAAATATATAAATAAATAAATAAATAAAATGCATTTCCACACAGTGCTCTCTGCATCTTTCACTGTCTGTTCGTAGCTCTGGACAGATACTGTAGATGCTTGTATCCTCTCCTTTATGTTTCAAAACAGGAAAGCTTCAACTGCAGAGTTAACAAACAGTGGAAAATATGTCTGCAGAATGTTTGCAAAGACAGTGCATGAGATTATCCTTCATGTTCTGGATCTGTCAGTGAGGAGTTAGACTCAAACAGCCCACAGTGGGCTCTGTTCAAATGTCTGAATGACTAGATAAGCACATCAGCATTTTTCTGCTTTAGTTTGTCACTGAACCAAAGGGCACAGTTTTATTAATAAAAGTACAAACTTCTTTTCTTTAAAGATGTAATACGTAGGCATGCCCTTGTGAAGTTTTGTGCCTGTGAAAATAACAAGCATCCGAGCTCAGGCAGTTTAATCCTTAGTAAAAATCAAAGCTATAAATTGTTTATACTATTCAGTTGCATTAATATCTATCTATCTATCTATCTATCTATCTGTCTGTCTGTCTGTCTGTCTGTCTGTCTATATATATTTATATCTATCTATATCATATATCTATATCATCTATCTATATAATCTATCCATCTATCTATCATCTATCTATCTATCTATCTATCTATCTATCTATCTATCTATCTATCTATCTATCTATCTATCTATCTATCTATCTATCTATCTATCTATCCATCTATCTATCTCTCTGTCATCTACAATGTTTTCATGTCGAGCATGGGGTTAATGTGCTAAGCTAACATTAGCATTTTCACTTTCCGTTACGTGTGATTCGCTTAACTTGTTTTTATTATGGCCGTTTTTTAATTAATCTCCATCCGCAAATCTTACAGAAGGGATAAGTCTTCGACTTAACAAACATTGCACCTTGATAGTTTATGATCTTCAAATGTTACTGCTTAGCGTTTTAGCCCTACAGGATATTTACAAATACCGGATAAGCACAGACATGGACCTGCAGCAGCCAAAACTGTCTCTTTTTAAACTAGGTATTGTCATTGTGGAAAAAATGATTTTGGAGAAAGGATACTGCTTTGTAGGATTAACAAAATTAGGTGCAAACACTATTAAATATCAGAGTAAGCGCTCTCTTTCACACATTCCTCAATTTTAATCTGGATATGTATGGCTTTGTTGTATATTTTTGTGGTTTATTATAGATATACATATATTTTATGTTTCAGAATCACATGTTGCATAAACTTTTGACATATTAAGTCCTTTCCGGAGATTTACGGCATCTTTACAGCGGATTAGAAAACTTGTGAGGCTCTATCGATGCATCTCTGTTTGTTGACAGAGTCACTGAGGGCAAATGAATAAATAGCTCAGGAGAAGCCAAACATTGCTCATTTTCATTTTGCAACCTCTGTAATTGATTTATGATATCCAAATGCACGGTGTTGTTGTTTTTGTGCTTTCCCAGCAAAGTCCTTAATAATTGTTTTAGGTTCGCTGGCTGTGAACCATAATCTGTTGTTCTCAGCATAGAGAGCTAAGCTAAATATTTGTTATGAAAGACCAGGCTGGCTCATTTTCAGGGCAGATTGTACAACAGATAGTGGAACGTTGATACGGGGACATTTGTGTCTATTGCGGACGGTTTTTAACCAAACTCTGATTTAGTAGAATATAAAAATAAGCCTCTATGAAATCAGTAATATTGTTGGTGGTTTGATTGCATATGATTTATGAAACAGGCAAACATTGTTCGTTTATATAAGGATTCTTTTAGAGATTCATAAAGCCCAAGCTTTATGATTCCCTTACAGAATGCCAGCTTATATAAGATAACACTACATATTAAATCACCACTTGAGAGTTGCAAAGTGAGTCTAAAAGAAAGCCGCAAAGACTATGGGAGTAGCTGCTTCTAACTTCCTGCTCTCTATTCAGATCATTAAAACAGAAAATGATTCAGAACTAAAATGTGATTTTTAATTTGTTTCTTTATCAAGGATGCTGTTGAACTGAAGGCGTGTATAATCAGTATATCTCACAACCTCATGGATGACTTCAGCTTCACTGATTCGCTCCTCTTTCTCACGCTCCACTGATTGCATTAACCCCTTTAGCCAGTATGAAAACAGTCACTCTGAAGAAGCGGTAATGATCTTAACATTTTTTTTTTCTCCCCCATGCAAGACAATTAGAGTGCAATTAGCTGATTGAGGTGATAAAGACAAATAATCGCTGCTGAAAGTGCTTCTCTTTTGTGCTCCAATCTATGGGTTTCTAGAGACCTGTCAGCAGGAAAGCTCACAAAGTCCTGATAACTGAGCGACATTATGAAAACCCTTCAATCCTCAAAAACCTGCTGATCCAACGGAGGGGTGTTTATGATGCCTTTCTCTGCTTGCTCTCAGATTAAATCAGTTGTTTATGTTAGCTTGAATGGGGATTGTGTGTATTATTACTGTTATCTCTTCCACATGTTTTTATTCAGACTAAAAACTCATAACATGGGTATTCCCCTGCTACAAACGAAACAATTTATACCGACTGTATCTTGAATTATTAAACGCAATATGACTCATTTGCTTTATTAAGCATACCTTAGTTGTTTTTTAATATCTTTTCTATTCTAGCAGTGTTTCATCCACTTGTAATTTCATTTTTTTCCATGAGATCTGCTGCTCTACATGAACCAGTTGATTAAAAATTTTCACATTCATGCTAGATTAGAAAGAAAAAGGCCACAAACATTGATGTGATACTTGCTTTTCTTTCTTTAAAATGCATACTGACAACAGCACTAACTGTACACTCTTAGGGCCCGTTGATTGCGACAGCTTTTACAAACGGATACCATTGAACAGGTGGCCGGTTGCTATCTCATCAGAGGTATTGCCTTTTATTTACTTTGCATTTCTCTTAAGCATTGTTCTAATGTGTGCTCATCCTTGCTGTTTTCAACCCCTCTCTATTGAAATGCTGGAGCTGGTGGCTCAGGTGTGTGCGACAGAGCACTTCGCTCTCTTTAGAAGAAAAAACAGCCTCGTTCAAGGCAGAAAATGTAATCATGGTCGATCTGTGTGATTAACTACGTCGCTCAGGTCTCACACACCAATATGCCACCAGCTCTTCATTTTTCTTTTTATTTTAACATTATAAATGCCTTCATCTTCAAGTAGTGTCTTGTGTAAGCCAATCATATGTCATACTTGTCAAGAACCCAATATGAAGCAAAACAGGAGCAGAAGAAGCAGCACATTTTATCCATTGGTTAGAAAAGGCTCTATAAATCTTTTCTCTGACCTAACTATTTTTTTTTCCATTGAACCATTTGGTGTAAATTGCAACTCATTTTTGCAATGGAATTGTTAGAATTTGAGATTCAAGAAGTAGCAAAACATTTTATCTCCCTGCAGTTATTTTGGGAGATGTAATGCCTGGCAAACCCAGGGCTTCTTACTGATGTGATGTTTTGATTTTAATTCAATCAGCCATATTAGCTTTGTTTTACTCAGCAGTAGGATGTCATTTTATTTTCCTAAATGTCCAAACACGTGCATGAGGCTTGCATGATCCACAGTAGAACACAGTAACAGCTCACTCCACCTTAATTGGCATCCCTGGTGTAAAAAGCCTGAGAATAATAGTATGCTATTCCAGTAAGACAAACTCACTCTAAGAAAGTAGAATCTTTATTTTTTTGTTTTCATTATCCGTTGCAGACAAAATGTTCTCCAAGCAAATGAAAATAGGTGAAAAACATAAAACATGCCATTTAGGTCAATGTAAAATACAGTAGAGAATGTCAGTTTACTGTTTACTTTGGCAGGTCTGACAGGAAAACTGGTTTTCAGTCCTCCCATCACAAACCTAACGATGCCAAATTAACTTGGATTTCGCTTTCAATAAAATTTTCAATTTAGTTTATTTCTATAGCGCCAATTCACAACACATGTCATCTCAAGGCACTTTACAGTTCACCAGGTCATACAGTCAAATTGATTTAAAGTTTACTATATAAGGAAAACCAGTTGATCCCTCACACTAAGCATGCTTGTAGCGACAGTGGAGAGGAAAAACTCCCTTTTAACAGGAATAATACTCCAGCAGTTCCAGGGTCTGTGTGAGCGGCCATCTGCTTGAACCCAACTCGGGTTCAAGGAGACAGAAGCAGAGATACAAAAAAATTATTGTAAAAGGCGGCACCGTCCAGGAAAAACACAAGCTCTGAGCCAAAATCTGCTTATTAATTGTTAAATTCACTTTAACACTTTAAAGTTAATTGTGGGGACAGTACCTCATGCTCATACCTGCTTTAACACACAGTAGAGGATCTATAATCCTTCAGACCTCCTGAGCTTCTATTTGCTCTGGGAACCTTTGCAAAGTTCATGGTATCATTGAACTGTTTTAAACTTAACTTCCTAGCCATTTGTGTTTAATGTGTAGTTATTCCTTAAATTAAGATTTCTTTTTCTTCAATACGTCCAAATAATTTTTTTCTAAATGACAGTTTGAGATTTAGCTCTTGTAGGAAAATATATTTTTAAATTTTTTAAACATTCTCACTAGGGGTGCCAATACATGCGGAGGTAGCAGCCATTTCCCACCTGCACCGCTCACTTTTTAGGTTATTTTTCTCCACAAACGTTCTTGTGCTTTGATTGGTAGAAAGTTTACATGCATTGAATTGTAAAAGCTGACGGGGCCTCTGGTCATCTACACTAACGACCTTTTCTCTTTTCTTGTGTCTGTTTTTCCTTTTCTTTGGACACCCAGCAGAGTATATCTGGTGGCCCGTGACAGACAGGACGAAGTTTCTAATTGGCTTTGTGTGCAGGTGATGATAATCCAACTTCAAGCACTACAGCGTCACCGATGGCTAAAAGAGTGAAAAGCGGGAACCATATGAAGAAGATTTGGAAAAAAAAAACAAAAAAAAGAAAAGTTTGTCATCTCAGAAAAACAAACAACTGCTGTACTATAACCCAAACCTCCTATACCTTTACAACCTGGTTTGGTATGATGTTCCACGTCAACTTCACTCACCGATTTCCTTCCTCCCTTAGCTTTTTGTTTTTGATCACTTTCTAGTGTGTTGTTTGAGTTTAACTTTTTATCTCCTTGTAGTTTGTAAGTGCATTTTATTTGTATTTTATTTTTTAAAGTACGGCGGGTCAGAGCCAAGAATATCTGCAAGTCACCTCTTCATCTCTATTGGTTACTGTAAAGGCAAAAAAATGAAACGTATTTCCATTCGGTCTTTCAGCAAAAAAAAAAAAAGATTAAAAATAAGCTCAGTATGGAAACATTTGGAGAAAAAAAATTAAGGAAATTTCAAAGAGAAGGTATCAAAGTAATAATTTTTAGTAGTTGTTTTATTTCTTGTGATGTCTCATTGTAAACCATGATTACCTATTTTTGGGCAATACAAAGAGGACTCCAATATTTTTATGGTCCTTTTTTATAAGTGTTGTTTCTGTTGTGTAGAAATATAAATATATATAAATATATATATATGCTATAACAAATTTCATATAACGACATTGTGAATTCAAACTTGAGAAAAAGAAATGTAGCTGTACATATTATTCCAGTCACTGCATATAACCAACTCAGTGAGAGAATAGCATATTTTTGTGATGGTGTGTCAAAAGAATACGTTCTAGCGTGTGAATAGAAGAAAAAGCTGTAAACAATATTCTACGTTTTTGGTTTTTTTGGTTTTTGTTTTTTTGTTTTTTTCTGCTGAAAGACGATACAAGTCCTCAAACAAACAGTTGTGTAAATACTAAAAAGCCGAATGATTTTAAAAGTGTCATACCAGCAAATTTATGACCGGTGAGCTTAGTTGACGCTGTTTTAGAGACAGAACAGCATGGATGATGATTTTACGATCACTTCAAGGTGGGAGCGACAGAGAGGGGGGAAAAAAAGACGATTTTTAATCCAAAGCACAGCGTACGAAGAGACGCGACGATTCGAACTTGAAGCGGGCCTTTTTTTGCAGAGCTCTCTGCTCCTGGCGCTTTTCTACTGCTGAGAGGAACCTGTTAGCTGTATATGTGTTCAATGTCCGTTTCATCCTGCTTGTTCCTGAGTCGCTCATGGAACAAAATACCTGGGCTCTGTGCTCGAGCCTTTTTTTATCTACCTATCTATAGATCTATAGATAGATAGATACACTGTTTGTTCTTCGAATCGGTTCTTTTTTGAATGAATTAGGAAGGTGAACATTTTGATACCATACCTCAACCTTTGTGACTTTGATCGTGTAATCATCTCGGCAGGTTTTTGATTTATTTCAGTGCTGAGCATAGAAAAAATAAGAAGAAAAGAAACACTGAAAGGCATTTTTAAAGCGAGTTATCGCTGCACTGTGAGTTTTGAAGTACAGGCCATCCTCTTGTTTGCACATTAGTATGTCAGCTTTTTACAAACGAACCTGTGCTTCGGGACAGCATGAAGGATTTATTAATGGGTGTGGGGGGGTGGCGTATTCACGTGTTCCCTACCGGACAAGCGGCTCGGGATATAAAAAGCGGCGTGATGCGGCGTATTCTTGGATTTCTTTCTGTATAGTAGACCCACGGCTCCCCAGAGGATATTTATACAGGGTCAAAAGATGACACTGAATTATTCACTATCTGTCGCTACACTTGGCTTTGCACCGTCTTTACATGTGGCAAAAAGGTTTTACTCCTACAGCGACAGATTAATGATAATAGTATAATAATAATAATGTTACGCACCAGAGTGCAGTCTGGTTTTGAAACTTCTATCAGTGCCGTTGTTTTCCTTTCATGCACTTGTTTCCTTTTTCTTTACAAAAACCAACAGGTAATAAATATGCTGGATACTTCTAAAATAAATGATTATGGAGGTGTGATCAAGTAATAATTTAAAGAAAAAAAAACTTGTAATGTTCAGATGTATAAGAAAAGAAGAAATACAAAAGTAAAAAAAAAAAAAGAAAGATGCTTCTTTGCTGATTTCAAGATTAATCAGAGTTTTATTGATACTTTGTGGTTTCTATATTAATAATTGTATTATACTATTAAAAATGTACTGTGCATCCATTACGTTCTCTCTTTCCATGCCCCATCCTCAGAGATGCTGCCATCTTTTGTTGCTCATCCATGTACTTCATTAGTGTGTAAAGAAATCACAGTTAACTTGTAAACAGAGTGCTGTCTTTGATACCAGTGTAGTGCTTTGTTGTTCTCCCTCGCTCTACCTCTCCTTTCTCTCATATTTAGCCCCTCCCTCCTCTCGCTCTTTTTCTATCTCCTGTAATTACAAAGTAGATGTTATATAGGACTCATTTATATAATACTTGTAGTGAATAGTGGAATTAGAACCAGTCAAGATAGACCTTTCTCTCAATGATCATGTTGTTCTGATATTTGTTCGTTGTAATTTATTCCCTGTATGTTTGATCTTTATGTTTAGACTTGTTTTTTTGTTTTGTTTTGTTTGTTTTTCTTCTATTTGGTTTGTTTTTGCCACTCGAACATGGTTTCAGCTAACCAAAGTTCTCATGGAGGAACAATGGAGAAATTGTTGCTGTAAGATGGACTTGTACACAAGGCATTAATTGGATCCCCACCCTTGAATGTTTTAAAAGGGGTGTGCCATACTACCTTAAATGCTAATGCTTGACATGCAGAGATTTTTCTTTTAAACTTTTTACTTCATTCACAGGAAAGGATTATTATGTAGAGATAATGAGAAAAATAATTTTTGTTTTGGTAGAATGACCATCAGTACTCCCGGTATCAGTCATACAGAGGTCTGTTTGTATATTTCGGAAATAGCTCAGTTACTTTTGACACGACTGCATTTGGAAAAGACTTTGTGTCTTTATTGTGTCTTTAATTATTTAAGTGAAAGTTCTTTTTTGGAAGCGATTTTTCTAGCTTGTTTCAAACAGTTTCCAGGTGTAATTCTCTACAAAACCGCACAGCACACTTTAAGAAAAATACTTTAAATAAATAAAAGCAGCTTTTTATTTGCCAGTCAAACAATTAATGGTTTAATCTGGATTAAAACCAGGACAGCATCCCAAACGATTGTTTTCTTTAACAACATTACCTAACCTGAAATGTAACTCCTAAACTTATAAAATCAAAAGGTGCTTTCAATTTACTAAGCTTTATCTCATTATAATATAACTTTACGGTACCTCAGCAGTTTTAAGGTTTTATATCACATATTAAGTTTATATCGCCACAATTTTTACCCTTTAAACTTTGTCATGCTTTGTTACATTATATTAACAAGCTCTAGTGTATTTTACATGGATTTTATGTAATAGATCAACACATCTGTAGTTGAACAAAAACGGCACTCTGCCTTTTATTTTGAATTCATTTGATTTTAGTCGTCCTGATTGAAAACATTAATCCACTTTTTATTGCTAGCAGATTTTTTTTGGAGTGTGAGTCAAAAATGTGCAAGCATAGAGGCTGAGATATTGGTGAAATAGATCGAACTCACTAAGATTAGAGGGAGAGTGCCTCAACACTTAACTTTCAAGTACATAGTTTTGCAATTATGTTCAAGTCCAGACTTTGACTGGACCATCTCAAAACCTGCAAATCTCAAGCCTTTTGCAGAACCTTTCCTTCTCTCGAATAAGAATTTGTTTCACATCTTGCCTACCTGTTCATAGTGGAGTAAAAACATTCCCAAAACTACATGTGAGGTGTAAATCTTTTGCATTTGCATGCAGGCTTTAAAAGTAACGTTTGCTGTGTTTCTTCTGCGGTATTTTAAAAACAGCAAACCACATATTTTTATCTTTTAACAGTGGATTTCTTTCTCCCACTCTCCCTTAAAGCCCACATTTCTTTTGTCTATAACTCACTTTTAAAGGTTTTAATGGTGGAGATGATTTTTCTCACACACCTTTTAGTTCTTAGTAACACAGCTGAGCTCAACATCTGACATTAAATTAAAACACTGGCGGATTTATCAGTATATATCTCACCGTAATCTGTTTTGCACTAAACTTGTTTAGGTTTGCTAGAGTTCACATTTTTGTGATTATTTATGCCCAAACTTTAAAAAATCCATAACTTTCACTTCCTGCAATGCATGCTTTTGTTGATCTATCGCATTAAACCCCAGTAAAAGTCACTTTGTTGTAGCAGCATGAAAATAGAAAAGGTTTGAGGTGTATGAAGACTTTTCATAGGTGTCATAAATACACAGCTTGGTCTCTTAACTAATCCAGTTGGTCAGATGACATACAGTGTCAGGCAATACAAAAAAGCACGCAAGTTGTTTTACTTAAAGGTAAGTACATTTAATGGATTTAAATGTCCACAGTCTAGAAAAGTGAAACTATATGAAAAAATATGAATTTAAGAAGCAAGTAAAGAAATCCTAAATGCATAAAAAAACATATTTTTCAAAATTAATATTTTTTATCCTAATAATTTCTAATGTCTACCTATGATTTAACAGGAATTTATTTATTCATGGCATTCATTTATTTTATTCAGGCAGAAACAAACACAAACAAACCCTTTGTTTATTTGCAGAATTGCACACTAGGTGGTTTTAGCTCACGGTCGCTCCTTAACTGTAATTGCTACATATTTTTTTTAAACATTGGAGTAAAATAAAAGTTTATAAAGAGAATTTTCTTTAGCACAAAACCATAAAATGCAGGGGTTTGTGTCTTGTAGCTTGGACTTTAAGGTAGCATGGCTCTGTTGCTGTAATTTCATTTAATCTCAAACTGACAGCAGTTTACAGCTGATGAATGTTACACATCTTAGTAGACTAGCTTATCCATTCGGGGAGAGGGGGACGGGTTTCAGTTTAAGAAAAAAAGTTATCAAAAAAAAAAAGATTAAAAAAGTCAACCTGGAATGGTGTTGACATTTTTAGTGTACTACCGTATCCATTTAAACTTGAATCTCGAGGCAAGTGCTAGGCAATGGCCAACCTGTCACATTACAACGCATCGTTGGGAAATCTCACCCTAAAACTGCAAACACTTCTGATATTTCTGTCCTAGTAAAACATATATTTTATTCCAAATATTCAATCCATTGGTTTGACCCTAAAACACTTTGCTCTGTTTCCAGTCGCCCTTGACTTTGAAAGCTCATGGGCCACTTTTGGGGATTTCGTTCCCATTTATAAAAAAAACAACAGCACGGTGGTGCTTATGGTTTAAAACCAGTGTGCCCTTATCTTTCACAGACACTGGATACAGTCGCTGTAGCCACAATGTAATCTAGACCACAAAGTGACTCACCAACACTTTTTATTTATAATTTTGGCTACTCTTGTTACATGATATAAAGTTAAAAACAGTTTGGGTTTTAGAAATGTTGACAGAACCCGTCAAGGTGACAGAAATAACAAAAGTCGTCATGTAAGGTCACGTCTTAGGGTCAATTTCCCTGCAAGTCATCACAGCCACATTCACTGCTCAATGTATATAATTATAGATAGATATATATCTATCTATATATATACATATATGTGTGTTTGTTTGTGATTTTCACCCATTTGACTTTATGTGATCATACCAGACTGGAGACCTCAGCTGTAAACAGAATATCTTTGTGCATTTAGTTCAAACTCGGTCATTAGCTGATGTTCGCCAACATGAGTTCCCCCCCGGCGTGCTGTTGAGTTTGGACGGAGCAGAACGCACACCCGAGAGCAGGCGGGGTGGAGCCCAGACGCCCTATCAGAGCGCACGGCCGCCAGTGAGAGGCTCTGCTGTGCTTCCATGTTTCTGCAGGCCGAGCATAGAGCTCTCCTCGCTGCTGCCGGCCCATTCCTAACACTTGCCCCTGTTTTTTTATGTTCACCGACTTTTTATGGCGAGAGACAGACAGACTTGACTGACATCTGAAAGCATCTTTCAGGTTATCATATGGCTTGCTCAAGCCCTATTGTAAAATATTCTGAAATAATAATGGTGATATTAATGGATGGGGGTCTCTCACATATCAAATGTGGAAAGTCTAATTTTATATTTGTATTTTCAAATAATAATATTGACAAAAAAAAATGTCTGTGAAAGGTTTCCATCCTCTACTGTGGTCCAGAAATTGATGTGTCTGTCTGGAAAAATAACTAAAATAAACTGAATTGTTATATTAATTGTTTCCACTCTGGTGTCGTATTTCTGCTTCTGTAGAGAAATAATCTGATGCTGCCTCAGCACGCCATCGCAATCATGTCTGATATGCAGTGAATAATTTCTTTAGACTTCTTACTGAGTGACGTCTAGAAACAGGACACTCAGCCGTGTGCAGGACGGAGTGGTCGTGTTCTCTCCAAACATAGTCTTTCAGTCCACATTTCCAGTCGACCACACACCAGGTCCTGGTGCCCGGGGTCATCCGAGGTCACCCTCTACGCAGCATGATTAATGGAGCTGAATTTGAAGAAGGAACAGCGCTGAAAAGCAGGAGCTGCAGTGTAATTCTGCTGCCCCTCAGTGGTCTCTACCAGCACCTGAAAAGACCCTGGAAGGAGCTTTATTTTCAGTCTGCTCGCAGAGATGAGTGTAGAGAATGGAAGCTGTGCCCATGTAAATGAGTTAAACAGGCGGATGCATGACAGTCTTTCAAGTGTAGAGAGATAAACTTATAATGGTTTAGCTTTGATGTGCTTGTTTTAAAGCATTTAGTTCAGCTTTAGGAGTTTTCATCTCTTTGAGGCTGAAATGTTTGCCCTTTTATGGCCAAAGATGCCAATTATTAGAACTTTTGAATATGTTTTATTCACCATTATATCTCCAGAAACTACAATAGAGAATGCTTTCATTTTAACAGTCCATTAAGAAATATGAAACTCATCGATCGGTAACATTTTGACTTCTGTTAAATACTTTGTTTTTAATGAAAGCTCAAATATTGTATAAAATTAATATTACTGCAATATTACTATATATATTGATCATGTTATGATCTACTATTAACATAGGCAATTGGAAAAGGATGCAGACTTCACTGTATGGAGGACCAAAAGGAAAAACGGCTTTCTTGGGGGATGGTGAAACTGTTTCTCTTGCGGCTGCTGCATATGAATAGTCCTGCATTTGCTGCAGCAGTGAAACTTTCAGATGTTGGGTTAGCATCTCCAAATAATCTTCACTGTTACCTCTTAATCACACTGAATTGCCAGCTAGGGGAATTCCTTATTATTCCACAATTTTATTACTGTTATCCTTTACTGACATCTGTTCTTTCAAGATGGCAGACTGTCATGGCGTCTCACAAATAGGTGACCATATATAAACCGATATAAAATTCTATGCTTATGAAAATGTATCTGGTTATATCTGGTAGTAATAACATACCAATGATAACACATATGTAACCTCAGTCATCAATTTAAGGAGGTATAAAAGAGAAATTGTTATTCCGTGTATCTTTAAACCAATCACAGCTGCTCCTCAGATGTAAGCAGCTCTTTCATTGGACATTTTATGGACAAAGTGTGGATGTGAGGGTTGGCTTAAATTTCAATTCAGTTTATTTATATATTCAATTCACAACACTTGTTATCCAAGGCACTTTACAGTTCACCAGATCATACAGTCAAATTGATTCAAAGTTTTCTAAGGAAAACCAGTTGATTACATCGACTCATTGACTCAAATGCAATCCCTCACACTAAGCATGCTTGTAGCGACAGTGGAGAGGAAAAACTCCCTTTTAACAGGAAGAAACCTCCAGCAGAACCAGGCTCAGTGTGAGCGGCCATCTGCAGAGGCCGACTGGGGTTCAAGGAGATGGAAGCAGAGATACAAAAAGCAGCTGTGAAAGGCGGCCCCGTCCAGGAAACACACAGCCAGGCAGACGAGCTCCGAGCCAGCTCCCATGTCAGAGGATGAAGAGAGCACATCCAGCCAGTCACAGTCAGAGAAACAGGACTACACTGGAAAAACAGGCTGATCTCCAACATCCATCTATAAATTGGATTTACAATTGTAATATTCAAAAGTTAAATTTGAAATGGCTGCTTTTCTTTTTCAATGACTCTCTTTGTTTTACATAACAGGGAGACTAAACCAGGAAAGAGTTCAAAAAAATCTGGATAGCCACATAATCATGTCCGGTGTAAAACAAATGTGTAGCGGAAGGTTAAAAAAACCCAGTCATGAGCATATTTCTTTGGTTTAGGAGGAAAGGGATTCGACTGCTGCTCCAAGTTCCTCTTTCAAAATATATATTATTTTTCAAATCAAGCTCTTAGAGTTTGGAGGAAGAGTGAAGGAGGCCCAACATCCAATTCATTTTAGGTATTATGTGAAGTTTCTACCATAAGTGACCATTTGTAGTATTACATCTGCTGCTGTTGTTTGACTCCAGATGATCAGGTCCAAATACAGCACAGCCGTGTACCGGGACATTTCACAACTCATCCGGTTCTGAAAGGCTTTGTGGATGAGCTGATTTCATTTTGAAGCAAGACTTGGCACCGGCTAATGTTTCCAAAAAGCAGTGAGGTTTAATGACTCTGGTGTCACTGTGTTTAACTCGCCAGCAAACTGGTCTGACCTGATGGAGAATCTGTGGGGTATCGTTAAGAGGAAGATGAAAAATAGCAGAACCAGCAATGCAGATGAGCTGAATGCAGCTATTACAGCTTCTATTACACCCCACTGGAGACCTGGGAAGATCCCTGCACTAATGTCGGCAAAAACAGCCCAGCTGTTCAGTGTATAACCTGTGCAGTACGTGGAAGTACCCTAAAATACTATTAAGAAATGCTTTTTCAATGCCGTTCAGTAAAATTCAATATTACACAGAAACTGACTTTTGAGTTAGAAATAATAATCAGTTTGAACAGGAATAATTTCTTAAACCATATGAAGCTGATTGCTTACACTATTATATTCTAATTTATTGATATTTTAGTCCATTTTAAACATCTTTAGCTTGAGAATAGAGTTTCTAGCTCAGAACAAGGCTTTGATGGCCGGGGTTCTTCAGCACATATAAAGCAGCCTTGTTCAACACGATGCTACTGAAATTCAGCCATGGGGATTTTTAATGTGGATGCTTGTCAGGTGAGACCAACAGTCTGACAGCTTCATCACTCATTTGGACAAGGTGATCTATTTATTCTGACTGAGATCGATACTGTTCTCAGCCATGTTTTTCACGGCCGAGGTTTCACAAGTTTAGATCACACCGCTGTTCTTGGTTGTTTTTTTCCCCCCCTCCTTTGTGTATTGAGAACACTGATGATCCAATTTCTGATTTTCT